TAGTTCCCGTTCTCGATCTCCTATATTTGAATTAGCCTGTCAGTTATACTATCCATATAGAGTATAGTCTCTCTATAGATAGGTAAGTGGAGTTAATTCAATGCTATGAGTACACCATACCACCTGCTCATACCTATTGCTTGGCATCCATTCTTTCTTTATAGAACCAGCCCATCTACAACAATTCACCTATGAGGTAAAAGCCAGCTACTATAGCATTACTTTCCTGCTTTCTTCCACAAAGATCCTCGATGGTCTAACGGTCATGATTTCCGCTTGTCAATCCTTAACAGGAACAAGCGCGGGAGACCTGGGTTCGACTCCCAGTCGGGGAGATCTTATTTTTGTCTTTTTTTTTGTCGGGGGAGTTAATTGGGTTCTATTTTTGAGGGGAGAGCGTGACGATACTCTGCCAACTTGAATCATATTGACATGACGCTGAATCAATTAATGCCTAGTTACCACCACCAAGGTATGTATCCAAATGCGGGCTGCAAAAACATACTTCGAATCAAACGGAACCGCCTATGTTCAAGACAATAGAATAACGGAGACAAGCCTCCCAGAGCGCGTTCTAGAAACCAAAGCAAACGCACAAGAACATCTCCAAATCGCAGGACAGACCAGCTGCAACGCCAATAACTGCTCAACAATAATCGCTCAGTTGTCGGCCTTCTCGTTGACCGCATCCTTGACCTGTGCTTTCTTGGCCTGCAGCAAAGAGCTGACATAGGCCAGCGACTCCTGCGACAGCACCAAACTGGTCGTGATAATGGCCTTGCCGCTCGCAACCACTCCGTCCCCTCCACATTTCTTGTACTCGGAACCATAGGTATCAAAGACATGGCCCTTGAGGTCATAGACAAGCCGCACGGGAAAAGAGACGCCGTCTCGGATCGTCCCCTTCAGCGTGTCCGTATCCTCCCTGATGAACGGAAACGTTGAGTCGACCTTGCTCAGGCCCTTGTCTCCGAGGGAATCGGCCTGCGCGACGTACGGGGCAACATAACCGTAAGGCTTGGAGAAGTAAGGAAGGAATGGCTTGGCCAAGCGAGTGTAGCCTTGATCGGCATATTCCAGGGACTTTGCGCCGTACTTGTTGGTCTTGAAGACGGAGATGGAGTCGGAGACAATCGGATAGGACGTCAAATGCTATCAAAGCGGTAGGATCAGCGCCCGTCACAGGCGATCGACAGCCAAGCATTAGAATTAGAACAACTCACGTCGAGGAATTGAGAGTGGACGGCATCGCCGTTGACAGAGTTCTCACCCATAGTTCCGTTTTCTGCGTGAGGCATACGTTCCTATCAACTGGACATAGCATTAACATATGGGGAGGGTATAGAGGGGCGGACGATAAGATAACCCTTACCGGATACTGCGGTAGTCAAGTGGGATTGAAGTCCTGGGAAAAGAGATGAGCAACGAGGGGTGAGACGGGAATAAATACTGGGCCCGTGGCGGAAAGAAAGAAGGATGAGACATGCAAGATGATGGGGAAATGAGGAAAGAGTGAAGGGGGTTATCACTTACCTATGTACGAGGCAACAAGACGGCAGGAGCAGTTTGGATGGACCGGGAGGAGGCGAACCGTAGTTAAATTTAAGGTAGGTTCAGCTTGCTGAGAGGTGAGAACACGCCATCAGTCGATCCATGAGGCTTGAGTGATTTGATTTATTTTCTTTTTCTTTTTTCCTTTTTTTTTTCTCTTTCTAATTTTATTTTAATTATTTTGGTTTATTTCTTTGTGATTTGATTTATCAGAAAGGATTTTTTTTTTTTTTTGCAGGCAGCGATGGCATGTGATAGCGGGCCCGGAGGTGAACAAGTCGCTTGGGGGCTTTGGAGGGGCAGCCGTTGGTTCCAGGAGGTTTTAGACCCTCGTAGTACCGAGTTAGTTGTTGCGTGCTCAATCCGGCGGCTTCATCGTCATTATCATTTCACCCGCAGGGCCTGGAACCCCGATGATGCCTGGAGGAACGCGACCCAAGATTGAAGTGACTAGG